GTTTGAATGAGAACCTTATTATTGAAAATTCACTGTAAACAATTCACAGGATAGGTTTGTTCTTTAAAAGGTCAACTGAAAATCTTATAAAAAACAAGTTAGAAAAATCAGTAATACATGGTTCGATGCATCTTTATCTCTTCTTTCCAACAGTGAAAACCGCAGTTCTCTACCTTGTTTCTATCAAACTTTATTCAAAAATACTCACGAGCATTCATGTTTATGCTACCAGCAAACCTGCGAACGAAACAGATGTTATCGAAATTTTATTATTATGATACCAGTTGAATGGTGATCGAATTGCATAGAAAAATAGAACGAAAGACGCTCTATCTGTTCATAAAAAAAGAAATTTTTTTACAGCTTTCTGTAAGAAAATAAAGTACCTCCGCCACTACTTTTGGACTGCCCTAAGTATATCTTCAAGACATAAATAAAGCAATAAAAAGGATCCGAATATATATTTAAGTTATAATAAAAATATTTCTATTTCTGAGGAGAAATGTATATAAAGAAGTGAAACAATTAGATCACCTTCAATTGAACAGAGATGAAAGCGGATCTAAAGTTGTTTAAACAACAATAACATAGTTACCTAATAACTTCAACCAATATTGAAAATTTATGCACATTGGCCAGTAAAAAGAGCCAATTCGATATGAAAAAATAGCAGATATATCATGAAAACAGACGTTGCCGTTACACTATCATATCTCTGCACTTCTGATGCAAATGATTCATCTTTTGACAAAATACTTATGCATTCTCGTTGACGAGACATGATAGGATAATGCCGATTAGAAAAAAGATCGAAAGAGATTCTATATTCTGAACCAGTTTGAAATTGGAAAAAAATGATTCAAAATCTGTATACAATACATGAAATGAAGCTTTTTCTACATCCTTTATTGGTTGTGTCGTTTCCAAATGTGCAGTATTCTATGGGATTCATAATAGATTATTTTAATAGTGTCTGTTGATGTATTAATGAATAGAGATTTATGCTAATTTATGTGAGGGAAGAAGGACAAACACGTCTGTCATTTAAAGAAAAAGTATAAACAGAAGAAATACTAGAGTTTGAGTTGTAGCCGATTTATAATGCTAAACTAAGATATATGGACGTTTTTCAAATATTGATTTATTACTAATTATAGTAGAGCATAAGATGTCAGTGAATATGCAACAACTAAGTAGCACATAGCAATGTATGTAAATATTTAATGATGATCCTTATATGTTATACCAATAATAACTGCATCTAACTGGCGAGAAATCAAAATGTAAGTTACAATTTGATTTCAGCTGTTTTTCTTCATTATAGTTATTAGAGTTTGAGAACTATAAGTCTTTTGTTTTTGCTTTTTTCTTCCCTTGTGATGCAATGGATTGAACTGGAATTTTTTATGAATCCTTCAGTTATGTTAGGATAAATGTCTTTTGTCAAATGAAGTATGAAGATTCATTATATAAGAAGCACTTAAGATCATTTTAATTGCTGTCTGGCGCAGTATCTTTCACAAGGAAATACTTGAAAGCTTTGATTTGATAAAAACTTGTACTCCGATAATTATAACCTATTTGGCTAGAAGTTCAAACTTGTTTGTCAAATCATTGTGATTCTACTATTTTAAAGTTCGTATCTCATAGAAATAAGAAAGAGACTTGTTATATTCATTTATTTTCATTTAAAATATACTTATTGAACGCAATAATAGCATCTTCTACTTCTTGCAAAAATTGTTTAATATGTTCAATCACTGTTTGTTCGTGTTCAAATCAAGTACAACTGTAGAATGTGGCATACATGGCTGGATACATTAGATCTAAATATGATTTTATTTTGCTCGTATTACATGCATCGTTGAGTAAGTCAAGATAATTTTGTTCTTGTTGAATGAGTGATTGAAATTGTTTTTTTCGTTGATTATCTTCAAACCAGTGTGAAATGAATTTAATATCATTATTATTAAATGTCATTGCACATCTTTCCCAATCAAGTATTGCTAAAATTTTTCCAGTATTTTCATCAACTAAGATATTTGATGAATTTAAGTCTGTATGAGTCATATGAAATTTGATGTCTGGATTTGACAAGTTCGAATCTGTTTGAGCACAATCAATTATTTTTTGTAATGATAATATTAAATGTTCTCCGATCTGAAATAATTGTTCATCCGTTTGAATTCGTTGTATAGCCCATCGTAAATGTTCAATTAAATATTCTTTAAAAGTAAGAAATGGTCCTAGTGTAGGACCATCTTCAATAGATCCACCAAGAAACATTTCTTTACTACAAAAGGAACCAATTTTATCCGTTTCTGGTAATTTTACTTGACGCAATTGTTTAACATAATCAGTCATTTCAATTGCTGTTTTAATCAAATTTTGATCAGAAACTTTTTCAATAATAGATTCTTACGTATGTCCATGAATTTTTTCCATTAATATATATTCACATGATAAAATACTTGTTTCAAAATTAACAGAATAATCGAATATTTTTGGTAAAGGAATTGTTGTATGTTCGAGTAAATATCCCATTGTATAAACTTCATTTTTAATACGGTATTCTTTCCAATAACGATGAGGATTTGATATTTTTAGTATGAATTCCATATATGAAGAAGTTTTTGATTGAACTTTTAAATTAAAAATCAAATTGATACGTCCAGAGGTTTGTAAACGTTCAAAAGAAATGCACTGTAATTCAAATCGTTCCAAAAGTTTATTTATATTTTCTATTGTTAATTTCGATGAGATCAACGCAATATCATGCATTTGCTCGGAGTATGATGGATGTTGAATGAAGTTCATTGTGTGAAAATAAATCATCTAAAATTTGCCTCGTACTTATATATTAATCAGAACATTTTTGTAATTACGCAATAAATGATTCAATGCAAATATACTATGAAGACAAGGACATGCACTAGTCTTATAGTATTGAAAATAGGAGGATAGTGAATAATAAAATTGTATATTTAGTAAAAACAAAACAAGATAGTATACTATCAAAGATTTAGAACTCTGGCAGAAGGGGAAAGAGAAATCTGCCGCTAACCTTTGATGAACGACCTGTTGTTATGTAAACCGAGCATCGATCCGAGTTATTCAATCATAAATTTATGTACTGAAGTATATTTGTAGTTGTTTCAACATAACAGTAAAACTAGAATTTCAATAAATGAGGACACTTCAATGGAAAGGGGAAGCTATCATGGTGAAAGAACGTGCTTTGAAGTTCATTAAAAGTAGTGTCGGTTCATTTTTTGTACTTTTTCTGCTGAGAAAAAACAAAGAAATTTTCAGAACGGATACGTGATCGTATCTTCTTTTCTAAGTCTGTCACTACTTCAACGTTTATTGTTTTCTACTCTCATCAATAACGAATTAAATCGAAAAGAAACTGGATAAGAAAATCATATAAATATTGTAGGAGATCTTAGGTTTTTCTAGAGTCTTTCGATATACATAGTTTAAAATAATATAATCGATAAGAAACAAACTATGTCAGTAATATAATTGATTCTCATGCCAGCAAAACTATCTAAACAATCATTTTCACCAGAAACACAAAATAGGTGTTAATAGCAAGTTTCGTTAATAGATACAATCATTTCCAAATGCTTGTCCATACGGAACATACCACTAACTAACAGAGTATACGTTTGTACATCCAACGAAACTGATTACTACAGCAGTAAAAGACTGAGTGAATGTCAGTAAGATATACTGGAATCTATTGCAAACTTTTCTTATGTCTGTCTTTTCTCCGCAATCACTTCACAATAAAAGAATGGCATTTATAACCGTTCAAATATATGATTAATAGGATATGTTTTTATATTAAACGTGACATTTTTCAACCTATTCTGTGTCATAGAATTTCAAGTTTATGTAGTAATATCAGTAGAAAAAATGTTAGTTATCTATTTGATTGCTTTCTTTCAATGGCATTTTTACAAGCGCTTTGATGAAAGTAAATATGCGTACGATTTAAGGTCTGTACATTCAGCTCACTGATGAGTTTCTATCACGAAGATATGCACGTTCACTCAATCAACTATCGTCTTAGTTTTTATGCAGAATTTCAGTTTTATCCTAGAGTCTTGAACTGTCGCGGAACTATATTTTACAAAAGAAATTTAAAAACAACCTCAACCAGTTGGTTTAATATCGTAGAAATTTCTCAATTAAGACGAAAGTTTGGTTAGACAAAACTGCATAAGCAAGATTAGCTTGTTGGTAAAATGAATGAAATGCATGGGATATTGATGTCAACATTTTTACGTCAGACTATTTTAATCGTGCAAGTATTCTGACTGGAGAGTATCAAAAGTGATCAACTAAAGCGAGAATTTTACGTTGTTTCTGAATATATGGTCAGAATTTTTTGTTCGGCTTAAATTTGGTTCTTGATGCATCAGTTCAGAATGGAAGCTTAAAAGGTTGTTCGTACAAAACATTTAATTAAATGAATTTGGCAAGTATGTTTATTCCGTTTTTGAACACGTAGATGTGATTGAAGAAAATGAAAAATTGCTATTTAGAATCAATATTCAATACTCGTTCCAAATGTATACCCCGTATTTTTCTCCGATATACAGTTATTCATCTGTGAGCAAATATCTAAATAATAACAAAAACATTGTTTACACTCAACAAAATACACTTTCTCTTATTGATAACTTCTTTGAATGATATGTCTAAATAGATTTGACTTTCTATAGCTGCAGAGGATTCAATTTTCTACAAAATGATGATTTACAATAAGCTAGAGCAAAAGAGTCGAAATCTATAAGTATTTTTCGAATAGTGACTCTACTTTTTTCCAAAACAAAAATCGTTTTTTTATTTCTAAAATGCAACAACTTTTCATCGTTTGTAGCAATATGTAAAAAGCAAAGTAAACTAATTCGGAATTTTGCAGATTGAACCTCTCTTTACAAACTAGTATATAAAAAGACTTATACTTTGACACGAGGTAGTTTCAATTAAAGTACTAGAAAAGACTACCTGAGAATGCTGTACAAACACGGCTTTTGACTTTCATCAAAAGTTTGCTGTCAATGAGCTGAATTTAGGACAAAAAAACTAAACATATATTTAAGAAGAGCTTGAATTTCTCATTCTAGCTGACTACTATTGGTTCTCTCCAATCACTGAAAAATCGGTGAAAACTCAAAAGACATGGTATGTAAATACTTTCTACATACAAGTTATTTTCAAGTGTTGAAGTAATTTATTCAGAAGAGTTTGTTACATTATCATTTGTCAAGACATTTTTTCGAATATCTAAATTGTAGACTCAATAATAAAGATAAACAATGAATTCATTACTAGTTTTCATTGTTTCAGAATGCAAAGCTATCGATCAATATATAATCTTGTTAAAATGATAAACTCGATATATATCTCAACAAAAACTGGGTGTCTCCTAATAATTTTTTATTCATTCCATTTACATTTATTTATATGTATCGAATACTGCCACACGACTTTAATAGTTGCATATAAAACTACTCTTTCATGATGAATATTGTTGCAATAATTTCGATTTTAATACTTGCATACGTAATCAACTTGACAATAAATAAGTTAAGTCTTTTAGTTTATCTTATGTCAGTTATTCTACGCATCGTTATTTGTCGACACTTGGAAACGAGGAAGAGACAGCAGGCATCTAGACTTCATGAAACATTAAAACTGAAGGCTTTGCTGTTTTTTTCCTTGCTAAGAGAGAAGGTACCTTCTTTTTTCATACGATGACGAATATGAATCGAAGGTAATGAACGACCGATTCCTATCATAGCACACAGATATTCTGTAAACCATTGACAAAAAACAATCTTCGTTTGTTTTGAATTATTTCATAAAACTTTATCGATCTTTTTCATTCTCTTTTATAGAATTTATCATCTTCTTCATGTTTTTTTTTTGTTAACTCCTTCCTAACGAAGACTAAACTTTGTAATAATGTAAAATAAAAAAAGATCTAGGGGATGTACAATCGATATGAAATGCAACACTGTCATGTTCTAAATATTTTCTAGTGCGCACAATAATTTAAATGAGAAAATATTCTAATATAAATAGTTGATATCAGAACTGCTATCGGCTATCGATATCAAGTATAATATATGTTATCAACTTCTCATTGTTAATTTTTCTCTCAATGTGAACTAAACGATAGTACTGTGACTTTTTTCATCACTCTCTCATAATGATACGATTACTCATCTGTATGTCCGTCGTCATTGTTTTTTTTTCTTTCTTTCTATTCGCAACAGTCATCACTTTTGTTTCTTTCTGCATACGATCATATTCATGAGTACAATCTTCTTCGCTGTCATCAATAACAATGAGTATTGCTCCTGTTTTTTTTTCTATTTTTGCCCCTAACCAGCAAGTTCAACGATTTTACTTTGTGTAAGCAACTTTTAAATAAAACTGTTTAGAAAACTGATATATGTAATACGTCAACATATATATATATATATTTTTGGTTGATACTTATTTTCTCTCATGAAAAGAATGAAAGAAAAAAAGCGATGCAGTGAATCATAGTGAAAAAAACCAATGGTGAATAAAGTCAGCTGATACTTTTTTATATTGTAGATGGCCTCAAGTTTGACGACTGATATTGAAAGTCTATCTATATTATTCGATAAACAAACAGATTTAACTGAAAAAACAGCTGATGATCGACCAGAAACTAGCGGTTCGGCATCGTAAGTATTTGTGTTCTTTCTTTGTCTAGTGCTGATGAGTCATCTTTAAAATTGAATGAAATCTGTGTAGTGATTTGATAGTATAAAATGATACTTCTTTTTAAGAAGCGAAACACTTAATAGCGATCAGTCAATATTTTTTTTTCTAGAACTTTACATTCGAAGTCCATATTTTGTGCGCATTGATCTCGAAAACAAAACATTATCTGATGCTCATTGAAATGGCCATTAGAGACGCTGAGATCTTTATATAATACAAATGTTATCCGATTTTCAGGATGATATTTCGTTCGCTCAAAGTAAAATCCGAATATTATAAATAGTCTATGCTTTTCATTATGTCGAAATAGCAAAGCGAGACAAGGCATTGATGTTAGCAGTGATCAATTATCGCTAGCACTAATGGTAATCCATTAATAAATAATTGCTGACATCTTTTTTGTTAATTAATAGAATTCTATAGGATGTTACTAGTTAGACCGTTTGTTATGGTTATGTAGGAGAAAAATGAGAGAAGAAAATATCAACGTCGTTTCTCTATCGAAGATTTGTAGAAAAAAACAAAACCAAACTTTAAAAGATGTAGATGACAGTGGATACTTGATATTAATATAAATGAATAAAAATTCATTCATTTATATAAATACAATAGGCAAAGTGTATGTAAAGAAAATGTTAAATATCGATATTTGCAGTATTTAAACAAAGCGCTTGACGAAACACGACATAGTTTTCCAGAAATTTTGCAATGTGAACAAATTGAATAAAAGAATGTATTTTTCACTAATATTCAGGGCAAGGTGAAATCTAATTTCTACAACGACTTTCAGTAAAAATAGTCAAATTTTCATCAATTCAATAAGTATTAAGAGTTTTTATTATCAATACAATGTCGTAAGTCCCAAACAGAAAGTTGAAATGCTTTGCACTGTGAGCTGAGCTCAGGTACCTTCTAGTTTATTCCGGTTTGTTCTTTTATGTATAGAATTCATGTTCTTATTCGATATGTTTTTTAATTGAACTATAAACTTCTAGTAATATTCAATTACGTCGATCTCTAACTGTATCAACTCTTGCACATTATTTTGGTCTTCAATGTGGCGAATTTCTTCGTTTATCTCTTAATTCTCAAATTGAATCCAATAGTCATGATACTTTAAAAAGCTTTTTAATGAAACATCGTGGAATTTCGTTTGAAACTGGTATAAAATCGTATCATTCTCAATCAATATTATCGAATATTCATGAGGAAGATGAGTTTCTATCCTATCTTCATTCATCTATATCCTCTCCCACCGAAGAACTTCGAATTGCTTATAATGTAAAATTTCATTGGACATATGATAATCAGCTTCAAAGTAATTATAAACCTGATTTTTTATTAATAAAACATTTAATAAATAATGAAAATCGAATACAAATAACAATTGCTGATGCTAAATCATCATCTCGTATGCGTATTGAACATTGTATTCAAGTTGCACTTTATGCTATTGATTTACGGATATGGATCGAACGAAATAAACTTGACGAATACGTTTTTATACATGATTTTGGAGAAATATGGTTACCAAGCGAAAGTGAATTAATTCCATATGAAAAAAAGATTTTTCCAATGACTAAGCTACAAGAAAGATTAAGACATTTTCTTAAATATGATCTAGAGAAAATTCTAACAGGTAATAGGAAATAAAAAAATAAAAGAGATTTCCAAGAATTTGTTGTAATTTTAGGTTCTGAATGGATAATGTTACCACGATGTTCACTTTGTTCATATGCACCTCGTTGTCGTCAAAGAGCTATTTACTATGAACCTAATTCAATAAATAACTTATCATATTTACCTTCATCAGCTCATTCATTAATTTATTCATTTTTTCATTCAACATGGCTTTCACCAATTGATCTTAAACATCTTTTTGATCAGTCAAATCAAGATGATCCTTATTCAGATGATAAAAAAAAACTAGAAAGCATTTTATCAATCAATCCAGAAGATAAAACAAGTGCTGTTATCAAAGCTCTTCAGACTCATGAGCCACAACTAAAACGGCAAACATCACTTTTAATACCAAAAAAAAATAATGATTTAATTCTTTTATTTTTTTTCTTGATACCTAATCCATCTCAATTACATTCTGTAGCACTTTTTGCATATAATATATATGATACGTTAAATCAATCATGGTTTTCATCTAAACCAAGTATTCAATCATATCCATCACCTTATCAAATTGTTTCAATGATAAGTCAATCATTAGAATTTAAATCTCAACGCCCTTGCCAAATAGTTCTTTTTGATGAACAAGAAAAATCAATTTTATTTGAACAGCTAACACTTGCATCGGATAGTGAATATATTGATCAATGTCTTATATTATTAAGTTCATCAGAAAATGCTATTTTACTTGATTATCCGCCGGATGTTATTCAAACGGATCGTTTTTTTCGTTCACATCCATTATCGAATGTAACAAAAGATGAAATTGAACAAGAATTATATGAACGTTATGGATCATCTGGTGACAATAGTAATAAAAAACCTTCAAAAGTAGAATTAGCTCAACAATTAAGACAACTAAACGAAAAAGAACAAGAAAAAGCAAGACAAACTCTTATTGGTTTACCTTGTCTTATTTGTTTACATACAGGTAATTTTGTTTTAGGAAATTTGTTTCTTAATTGTGTTTTTTTCTTAGCTATTCGACAATCGTTTGTTGTGCCGATGCCTGCTTATTTCGATTTAGAAGATCTTAAATATTCATTCAAAATTGCTTTGCCATCATCCAATCCTAATGAATTATTTGAATCTATTCAAAAGCCAGGTATTGTCCATTTAAATAAATAATGTACTTGATTGATATGCGCATAATTCGAAAACAAAAATAGACAGATCTTCATTTGTTAATAGTCAAAGAAAGAATGTTTATCTTCATCGCCATATACATCAAACAGTGATCATATTTCAAAGGAACCATATTGGGAAAATTTTTCGAATAGTTTGCAACGGAATACAAGTCTTTGTCTGAGATTCTCGAAACCAACCAACTAACCAGTGCTAATAATAAGACTGATCGAGTAGTCATGTTTCTTTTTATCTTAAAACAATTTGAAGTTACTATATCAAGTTTTGGGAAAGTCTTTCGCTCAAAAACAAAAAAAAAAGATCCTATTGAATACCAGAAGTCGCAAAGTCTACTAGAACAGAATAAAACTAATAAAGAAAAACAAAAAATTCGCATCCATAATTTCATACAAGAAGGAAAAGTGGATCTAAGATCTACTGATCTAGGTGTACTCCAATGGATTCTAATAAATTTGGATAGATTTCTTAATTCTCTGGATCCAAAAGACACTATCAGAACCATATGTACTTTCTTGATTTCAAATCATACTCAGACTCGGTGATCTCCATTTTTTTTTATGATCTTCAATAAATTCTTATGAACTTGGATGAATTCTATTAGATCGTGGTGAATTCTGATGAACTTCGGTAGTACGCACCAATAAATCTATTTGAGGAACCACTAGAATTCTGGATCTGCTTTTTTCTCATTCGCTTTCTTTCTTTATGGATATTCCTAAATCCATGAATTTTAAAATTTTTATCGAATAATATGTAAACTTTGAAAAATTAAAAGAAGCGTCATCAACCATCTCAATTTGTTGAATGCACTCCATGTCGAAGTATTTAACATTAATAATTAACATCGATCTTTTTTTGATGAACTAATGGATTGATATGTTCTTCTTTTAACCGGTTTTCATCCTTTATTTTGACAGATATTGATTATCTTATTCAAGAACATTTAAATGTTCTTGTTCGTCTTTATTCAATTATTCAAAACCATCTTTCTGAAGCAAATCGCCTTCAATTAGATGCCTATCCGTTACCTAAAATTACTTCAATAAATAGTCCTCATCCACATATTCGTCGTTTAATATTTTTACGGCAATATGAAATGTTATATTCTTTACGTTCAATTCAACAAGCACGATTTGATATAAATGAACCACCGATTATTATTCGAATCATAGGTAAAAAATCGATTGACAAATATAATCATTTATGGGAATGCCAAATTGAACGCGGTCAAGAGACAATTTCAAAAAACTTAACTGAATATGTAGCAAACACAAGTGATTTTCGTACATATTCATATTTAATTTCTGAAGATATTTATACAATCCGAACATTTCCTGATGCTATTTATATGGACTTAGCTATTGATGGTGTTCCTTCTCGTAGGAAATTTGACCGATGTGGTTTAGCTCATGTTGAGCAAAAAGAAGAAGAAGAATCAATATTTATTCGTGTTAAGCTCTGTAACCTTTCTCTTGAAATTAATCATCAATATTATTTGAGTGAACGTTATGTAGATTTTAATACTAAAAAGGCTATACAAGCATTAGAACAAGCTACTCCGTCCACAATACAAATATTAGATGACCCAAGGCAATTAACAAAACCTGAAGCAGTTCAAAAAGCAAGTGAAACAATGCAACGAGAAATATTAAATATGTTTTCAAAAAGAGAACCTTCAATTAAACCGGAACGATTACATATGCTTAATAGAGCACAACAATTTGCATGTGAAAAAGTTAAAAACGAACGTGTGACACTCATTTGGGGACCTCCAGGTATGAACACTTTTATTTTCTTTTTTTAGAGACAGACATTTAGTCTAGAAAAATTCTCATGAATATTTCATTACGGTCTATTAGTCGTTGTTAACTATATGTTTCATGACTGACAACGTTATGTGAATTCCATTTTGAATGAGTTGGCATACGAACAAAATATTGATAACTACAATAAAAATTTGAGTTTGCTTAGTTGATAATTTGAACGTGATAGAAAATTTTCATCTATTTCTGAGTCTGATGACTTTGCTTTTTTGGAATACACTTAATCAATAGATATGCCTTAATTCATTAGAATCGATCATTTCTTATCCATTAAAAGCATTTCAGCTCATGATATTTTTGACAACATTTAGACGCATTGAATAATATCGTTATAGCAAGTTTAGGTTATTAAAATAAGAGTTTCAACTATTTTGTGCTGAGAAAAAATAATAGTTATCACAAAAAAGACACATGCGCAGTATATTTAAGCGAGAGGTTGTCACTATTTCTTTGTATTAATATTGTTGAATTGTTGTCTTGAACTATAGCATTTCTAAAGATAATTGTTAATGCTAGATTTTCAATTCTAATTTCAATCCGTCGTTAGACACTTTCATTTGTGTATAATTTTTTTATAGGCACTGGTAAAACTTTTTGGTTAAGTGTAACTGCTTTTCAAATGTTAATGTTTTCGTCTTCTCCATTAAGTATATTAATCACAGCTTGTACTCATACAGCCATTGATAATCTTCTTTCATCATTAAATTATTTAAAAAAAATTTTTTCTTTATCACCACAATTTCCTCAATGGTATCAATTAGCTCAAGGATTAATCGTATTAAAAATTGATTCAAATAATTATCGTGATCTTTCATCTTTATATGGAAAACGTTCTGTAATTGTTGGTTCCACAGTATGGACACTACAAAAACTTGATCGTTCAATTGTTTTTGATATTATTTTTATTGATGAAGCAACACAAGTATTAACAAGTGATGCTGTTTTAGCTATAAATCGTTTAGCTGATCATAAAGAATCGCGATTAATTGTAGCTGGTGATCCTCTACAATTACCACCCGTTAAACGTTGTGTTTATCCATCTTTACCTCATCCTATACCTGATTTATTTTCATCTATTTTTCACTGTTTATTACGTGATGAAAATAATATTCCGATATCGTTATATACAGAAAAACCATTTGAACAAATATCACGTTGTCCATATTTATCCACTTTTGATGAAAACCATCGTAGGTTTATTTTTATCTTGTTATTTTTTCAACTATTCATTTATTTTTCTAGGTATGAATGATGAATTATCAGATTTTACTCGTCTTTTATATGGTGAAAATTATCGTCAAAGTCGTTCGACACCTTCACTTTCTATTCGTTCAGTTGAAGATTCGAACACATATCTTCTTGGTTCTCTTCTTCAACCATATAGTTCACTTTATACACTTCTTGTTGACTCATCATTATCTTTATTTTCAACTCGTAGTGAAGATCTTGATCTTGAATCACATCTTGTTTATTCTCTGATTAAAGAACTTGTTTCACGTATATCTCTCTCATCAATATTTATAATAACTCCACATCGAATGCAACGCTCTGCTATTCGACAAAAACTATTAAAAAATCCATTTTCAAATGTTTCAATATCATATGATACTGTTGAAAGAATGCAAGGAAAAGAAGCTGAATGTGTCATAATTTGTATGCTATATAGACAACGTGAAATGCTTAACAATGAATTGGATTTTATTTATAATCGACAACGTATTAATGTTAGTATAACTCGTGCAAAACAATTGTGTGTTCTTTTAACATCACAATTATTATTTAACCAACCACCATTAGAATTATTTGTTAATGGAAATACAAGAAATGCTTATACTTTATTAAGTAATTATGTTAATAAATCGACTATACGATTATTGGATAATCATGGCAATATTAAATAATTTTATATCTCAATTAGAAGAAAACTATGATCCAATTTGTTTGTTTTTGATATTTCGAATGTTTGAATACAATTTATATAATGTACATCAATATCTTTTTTTGCCACGTAAATCCAAGAGGACAACAAAGGGTGTTCCGAAAGTTCTGAAACGATTTTAAAATTCATCGTTCTCGCATTCAACAAACGCAAATTCTTTGAAACTTTGATATATTATTGCACATATGTAGTGCCACATAACTACAAAGTTTGAGGTCTATAGGTTCTACTATAGAGGAGAACCTGTAACAACACTTTGATGTACTATTTTTAAAATTTTCCTGTGTTCCGGATCTGCCAAAATATCTATATTTCGGCTTAGGTAGATGATAAAATCTTGAAT